TGATTCCAACTGTTAGATGCCTGCTGATTCCTAGAACTTCTTCCCGAGTTCTGCAGTACAGGACTGTAAAACTGTTTTTGACTTTTCATTGAGCCCCCTACAAAGAACATTTAATAGTTTAACCACCTTCCCAAAGTATAGCTAATGGCAGCAATGAGGTATCAACCTGGTGAAGTCACCAAACAGGACTACTTGCATGCCAAACAGCATAAGCAGCAAGTGATAGACAGAGCATGGCGATCACACAGCTAATGGATAAGGTCTAAGCTGTGCAGTCCTGCCACATCCAGTCGTGAATGGTGGTGGACGATTATACAACTCACTGGAGGAGGTGGGTCCACAAATATTCCCATTCTCAATGATGGAAGAGCCCAGCACATCATTGCAAAAGATAAGGCTGAAGCTTTCACAGCAATTTTCAGCCTGAAGTACTGAGTGGATGATCCATCTTGGCCTCCTCCAGTGGTTCCTAGCATTATAGATAACAGTCTTTAGCTAATTCGATTCACTCCACGTGATATAAAGAAATGGTTGGAGACATTGGATACTACAAAGACTACAGGCCCTGACTACATTCCAGCAATAGTACTGAAGACTTGTGCTCCACAACTTGCCGCTCCCCTAGCCAAGCTGTTGCAGTACAGTTACAACACTGGAGAATTGCCCAGGTATGTCCTGTACACAAAAAGCAGGACAAATCCAACCCGGCCAATTGTCGCACCATCAGTCCATCTCAATTATCAATAAAGGGTTGGAAGGTATCATCAACAGTGCTATCAAGCGGCACCTGCTCAGCAATAACTACCTCAGTGATGCCCAGTTTGGGTTCTGCCAGGGTCACTCATCTCCTGACCTCATTACAGCCTTGGTTCACACATGGACAAAAGAACTGAATTCCAGAGGTGAGGTGAAAATGACAGCCCTTCACATCAAGGCTGTTTTCAACTGAGTGTGGCATCAAGGAGCCCTGGCAAAACTGGGATTAATGGGTATCAGGGGCAAACTCTCCGATGGTTAGAGTTATACCTGACACAGGAAGCTGGTCGTGGTTGTTGGACTTCAGTCATCTCAGCTCCAGGAATTCCTCGGGGTAGTGTCCTAAGCCCAACCATCTCCAGCTGCTGCATCAATGAACTTCCCTCCATTATAAGGTGAGAAGTGGGGATGTTCGCTGATGATTGCACAATGTTCAGCGCCACTCACGATTCCTCAGACGCTGAAGCAGTCCTTATCTGAACGCAACAAATCTGGATGGTATCCAAGACTTGGGCTGACAAAAGGGAAGTAAAATTCACACCACACAAATGCCAGGCTATGACCATCACCTATAAGAGACAATCAAACCACTGCCCCTTGACATTCAACGGTGTTACCATCACTGAATCTCCCATTATCAATATCCTGGGAGTTATCATTGATCAGAAACTCAACTGGACTCACCACATAAATGCAATGGCTACAAGTGCAGGTCAGAGGCTAGGAATACAGCAATGAGTAACTCACCTAACTCCCAAAAGCCTGTCCACCATCTACAAAGCACATGTCAGGAGTGTGATGGAATACTCCCCACTTACTTGGATGACTGCAGTCCCAACAACACCCAAGAAGCTTGACACGATCCAGGACAAAGCAGCCTGCTTGATTGGCACTGTATTCACAAGCATCAACTCCTTCCACCACTTGGTAGCAGCAGTGTGTACTATCTACAAGATGCACTGCAGAAATTCGCCAAAGATCCTCAGGCAGCACCTTCGAAACCCATGATCACTTTCACCTAGAAGGACAAGGGCAGCAGATATATAGGAAAACCACCACCTTCAAGTTCCCTTCCAAGCCAGTCACCATCCTGACTTGGAAGTATATCTGCGTTCCTTCACTGTCACTGGTTCAAAATCCTGGAATTCCGCCCCTAATGGCATTGTGGGTCAACTCACAGCAGGCGGACTGCAGCAGTTCAAGAAGGCAGCTCACCACCACCTTCACAGAATCCCTACAGTGTGGAAACACGCCATTCGGCCCAACAAGTCCACACCACCCTTCCGAAGAGCATCCCACCCCAACTCATTCTCCTACTCCTGCATTTCCCCATGTCTAATCCACTTAACCTAAACATCCCTGGACACTACGGGCAATTTAGCATAGCCAATCCACCTACTTTGCACATCTTTGTGGGAGGAAACCGGAGAACCTGGAGGAAACCCACGCAGACACAAGGAGAATATGCAAATTCCACACAGACAGTCACCCAAGGGTGAATTGAACCCAGGTCCCTGGCGCTGTGAGGCAGCAGTGCTAACCACTGAGCCACCGTACTGCCCAAAAGGTATTTCCCTGCCCAGGAATCCAACCCGGGCCGCAGTGAGAGCGCCGAATCCTAACCACTAGGCTACCAAGGATACGTTCTCAAGGGCAACTAGGGACGGGCAATAAATGCTGGCCAGCCAGTGATGCCCACATCCCACAAAAATGAATAACTAAGTAAAAGCACAGTAAAACATGGAGTCTACCTCCGTCTCTATTCCTCCTTTCCCTATTACACCCCCTGTCCCCAGACACATATACGTCATATAAACCATGCCTCCAGTTTCTTTGAACTGCTCAGTGAACCCAAACTGTCCTGAGTGACCTATTGAAAGTCTTTATTACTATTACTGGGCAGCATTGAATGCAGCCATGTAACAACTCTTGGGTCTGAATACACTCTAAGTGTTGCAACTCACAGATTGTGCTCAAAAAGCATCAAAAAATTAACAAAAAGTATATTTCACTCCATTTAAAGTATGTTTCTTCCACCCTACCCCATCTCCCCAAATGAGCATTATTCATTTGTGTTAATGTTGTAATTCTTCAAAATATTCCTCCTTGTTAATTACATTAACTCTTGACCTTGCCTGGACTAAAGTACTCACTTTAATTTGATTCTGCAGTTAAAGTAGAGGAAAGAGCGAACTTTGGATACAAGTTTTGCAGACACTTATCTCTGTATTCATATTTGTAGAATTATTAGCCATAGGTAAAAGACCTCATGAGGTTTTAACAACTTTTTGATGGCTCTGGTCCAAAATTGTTTAAAAACAACTGCTAAATATAACTCCATATCTATCATCAGCTATTTTAATGATAAATAACTTCACTGTTCATTATGTCCTATGTATGTATTTTCCAATGCCAGACCTTCCGCAAATTGAGTCTACAGCAGAAATTCATGTAAATACATGAATACAGTACTGTGGTTAAATTTTTATTTGACATTATTGAATTATTCAAATGCAAACTACCCTAGTGACCTCTCTGTAGCTGAGTCTACACAGTCAGTGTCAATTATTTCACTAAAAGGGAAGAAAAGCCGAATTTGAGCCTGTTTTTCTGACTTCCATAAACACATGCACTTTCCAGTAGAGGATGCTGGATAGTTATTATTGTGATGGTGTACTACACATAAATCTACATATTAGGACCAGCCGTAGACTGATCTACCCTTTGATCCTGCTCCACATTTGAAAAGATCATGTCTGAACTGTTTGTGGCCTCAACTCTACTTTCCTGTCAGGTGTGGTCAGGTCAGGGATTGAGGTATGTTGTGTTGAATGGTCAGGCAGTGGAGGGTGGTTGGTTTGGGGCGGGGGGAGGGGATTTGATGTCAGGTCAGATTTGGATTGGGGGTGAATTTCCAATCTGGCGGGGAGCAGTCAGAATGTGGAAGCTGCTGAGTTTGTAGAGGTCAGGCTGGTGGTGGCGGGGAAGTGGAATGGATTGTCATATCCAGCAGTTGGGTCATGGAGGATTTCATCAGGCATGGTTTATATGACGTATACGTGTCTGGGGACGGGGGGTGTAATAGGGAAAGGAAAGTCAATGATGAATCAGGGTCCAGTTTAATAGTTGCATGGGGATTATTTTAAGGTTTTGATTCTCCTTTTTCCAGCTAACTATTAAGCTTAATTGATTCAGAACCCTCTGAAGTTTCCAAATTTGAGAGCTTTTTCAGAGGGTTCCAAACACTGGAGAATTGCCCATCAAGAATTTCAATTTCCTGGGCAATTCCCACAAAAGTTTGCTGTGCCAGGCATTCTGCATGGTTCCAATATAAAAATCTAACCTATGCTACTCCAACAACTCTTTAGCCATTGGAATGTCAGGGCCGATGTATTTCATTACATTTTTAACCATTTTTTGTCAAAATTGGCCATTTAACTTTTGGCCAAATAAGTAAATGCATTGCTTTTGCATTTTGGGATTGTGTGATAAACAATGCAAATTCAGGTTCCAAGTTTGGTGGTTCTTTATTAGTTAGTTGATCCAAGTCTGATAGAAGCTGCTTTGCTACAATTAATCTCATTAACCTTAGGTAATAAATGGAAAAAAAAAACCTGATGATGACACCTTTAAAAAAAAAATGCGTGCATGGACATGAAAAGAGGGAATATGGATCTCCACTGTGATGCTTCCTCTGAACAAAATAGCCTGCTGGGTATTTACTGCTTCAACTCATATGAAGAACTGCCATTTTGGGGTGAAGTACAAAAGGACTGCAAGTAGCCCTGGAATGATTCTGCACTACCCAGCATTGTCAAATAAAAACTGGATAGAAAATTGAAAGGACCTGAGGAACTGTTAAAATAATAATGCTGAAAAACATTAGACCACAGATAATGAGATAACAAGGTGTAGAGCTGGATGAACACAGCAGGCCAAGAAGCATCAGAGGAGCAGGAAGGCTGATGTTTCGGGCCTAGACCCTTCTTCAGAAATGTCTCAGATTCTCCAGCATCTGCAGTTCCTACTATCTCTCAGACCACGGATAGTAGCGGTTTCTGTGAGCACTAATTTTGCGTCTTCAAACCTGCAATTTATTTAATGGTACAAAGATGACATTGATGTGTCAGCAAGTATAATTTACGTAAAATTTGTGTTCCCAATCAGCCTCTGATTAACATACCTAAAGTATAAAGCACAAGAGCAAAAGAAAAGAAAAAGTATAAACATATTCACATATTCAATGAATCGAAGATGGTTTTATTTTTTAATTATGGAAAGAGAAAAGCCTCCCAAATGTGCTTATGTTTTTGATCCAAATTCCACTTAAAAATGCATGTGTAGCAGACTTAAATGGTACTGCATGCCAGTAATTACATTGAATTTAGGTGCTGTCTCTTATAATGCTCAAAAATGACTGAAAAGTGAAAACTGAATCTCAGAATAAATCACCATTGACAAATCTGCTAAATGTTAAACTGACCAATGAACTATTAAGGGTTAATTTCACATTTGAACACCAGGAAAAGAGAGACACTTAAGACATACAAGTTGGGAAATTGTGGGCTCAAAGCATCTTATTGCCATCCTTTAAATTAATGTACATAAGTTTGGGACTATATACTGTCAATTTATTGACCAGCAATCCAGGTGAGTTCTGTTAATTGTTTGAAGAATCTAGTCAATTGGGAATTCATTCTTGTGGTTTATCATGTGCTTTTTTTTGGCAAACTATACGAAGGACAATCCAAGAATCAACATGACATGGACTCTACTACAGTGCAAGTAAGTCTGACATTTTATCATTGTTGCTGTGGCATTGATGTGATTGACTATCTCACACCTTATGTGCTAAATGAAATGATTGTAGCTGGGATAACAGTTGGCATGCTTAAAATAAAAATAAATCAACTTTTCAGTTATGTTGGATGGAATCTTCTAGAGGTTTGAGCAATGGTGGCTAGGGTAAGATGTGTGGCAGTATTGGGTGACAAGTTGGTGAGGCCCATCCTGATGTTGGGAGCAATTCACATTATCTTTTAGGCTTTCCATAAGTGGTGTGACAAATTCTTGCTCAGTTGTAGTAAATTGCCATTTGACAAGGATTAATGCTTGTTAAACACCTTGTTAATGCCACAACTCACCTCATTAGTATACAGTGACCCAAATTACAGAATTAGTTAAATAAAGTTGATGTCAGGACAACTTGACAAGGAAATTAGAGTGAGCACCTGGTGGATTCAGCTCACTACTTTTTCTGAATGACATCCATGTTGCCTATGAACAAACTAAAGCCCAGGGCACAATACATGGGCATCAGCTAAGTACACCCCTTGTCCACAGGCATTGGCATCCAGCATCTGTCAACCCATCAGAGCTGTCCTGGCACCTCTCTGATGCATCGGCAGTAAGGTTTGGAAGCACAGACTGGCATTGCAGGTGCACTGGCAACTAGCAGTGAAAGGTTGAAGTTGGGGCTCAGCTGCATCTCAGGGCTGCTCATTGCTCTCCTGGTGCTCATTCGCTTAGCAGCTACCTGCATTCTCACAACACTCCTGCCTTGCCTTGCCATGCCAATTCGTGCAGTCACAAAAACAGGCAACTATACTCGCTGGGAGCAGTCCTCAGTTTAAGGGGCAACCATCTTGTAAAATTGCAGATGTCCATGTGCCAACAGCTTACGTGGCAAACACATTGCATGTTCAGCAGGCAGGTAGCCATACATCCAAACTTAGGGGAGTAGTCTAAATGAAGACCATGGAGGTGCCCGTCAGTCCCAGCACATTAAATCAAGGTCAGCCTCCCATACCAGTTTAGGGCATTGGTCACAGTCAGGCGTCCAGTCGGGGTTTTATCAGTAAGTTGGTCCAAGCATCTACAGTCCAAGGGGGTGGGGCCAGTCAATCCGTTGTCTCCATATCGATCTGTCCACCCATATTGCTAATGGGGGTTGTTTAGGTACATCTTGCTCAGGGCTATCTGGTGATATCAGGGCTATGACCATTCTGTTAGGTTGATCCACAGAAACTAAAGGAGAAGGGGGGGAATGGGAAAAGTGTGGCTGTTGTCACAGGACTGAGGCCTGGTAGGTTACTCTATGGCACTGCAGCCTTCACACTTTAGAAAAGGGAGAAGTATTACTATGATGGAGGGCAGCAGGATCTACAAGGTAGGGACACATATGCAAGAAATGTAAAGCAATAGTGTCAGAAAAAAAGTGAAAATACAGGAAACTTTTGTCTCGCAGCTGAAAGCATGAAATAAAATATATCTGAGCTCAGGATATTGTTTGGGAAGGATTTTGTTTATGTCATGCTGAGGGATCAGTGCCCAAAGGAGATGCAAACCAACTTTCCCCTCATTACTGACTGCTAACATACTCTGAAAAGGGTCTTTTCCTGTCTGTGGTGGAATTGCAGCTTTGAGATCCAGCAGCAAGCATCCTGGTGCAGCAATGATGCAGAAACCAGATTACCGACCAATCCATTAGCAACCAAATGATGGCATTGCAAGGAAGAAAATGAATGGCAGTAAGAGGGCAAAAATGGATTTTTGGGGGATTAAAAAGAAATGCCAATGAAAAGAGGAAGTGGCAGGGTAATGGAATGAGGAGTTCTGAAGGAGGGTTACTGGACTCAGAACATTAACTCTGCTTTCACTCCACAGATGCTGCCAGACCCGCTGAGTTTGTCCAGCAATTTCAGTTTTTGCTTCAGATTTCCAGCTTCCAAAGTTATTATTTCAGCAAAAGCGACTAATGCATGGACCAATGAGTAATACTAGATGAAAACTCCCAAGGCTCCTTCAACACCACTGCAGAGTAGCAGCAGTGTGTGCACCATCTGCAAGATGCACTGCATTAAGCCACTTTTGACAATATTTTCCAAACCTGTGACATGAATGACCTGGAAGGAGAACAGCAGGCATGGGAATATCACAAGTTCCCCTTCAGGTCACGCATCACACAGAGGGTGGCTCATATGCAGAATGAACTTCCTGAGGAAGTGGTAGATGCAGGTACAGTTACAACATTGAAAAGACATTTGGACAGGTACAAGAATAGCAAAGGATTAGAGAGACATGGAGCAAATATGGGCAAATGGGACTAGTTTAGTTTTGGGAATCTTGGTTGGCATGAACGAGTTGAATTGAAGGATCTGCCAATTGTCTTCTTACCGAGCATGTCCAAAAGGAGCCATATCATATCAGCTCTGTAGATCGCCAATGAAAATATCCTATTAAGATGTACAATTAATTGTTTAGATATCACATCTCCCATTAATACAGTGCCCCCTTTCTACGTCCAGTCGCTTTGACGCTGTTCTTGATAAAATATCATTTTATAATCGCAAGTATTTCGAGAGGAAATATAAACGAATAAAATACTGGGTGTCGAACTCGAAAGTTGAAGAAAACGAATGCAAATGTGTCTCTGCCTTTTTACGCGTCTGTTCAGCCCCTTTGTCGCTGAGATCAGTATGTGCTGCTGCCCTCGGTGGACTAGGCCCGGTTTCCATGGTGACTGCAGGGCCCGCTATCACTTCCGGGGGTGTTGGCGAAGAGGTCGCAGTGAAGGTTGTGATGTGTCGGAGCTTTAGCCGAGTAGTTGGCAGTGTGGGCTCCAGGTCGGCCCTGTCCTGCCCTCTTGGCCTCTAGTATGTTGCTGCTGTTGCTGCCGCCGAGGACAACGCCGATCTGATCACGCGATAGAGCCGGGGGAGGAGCACAGGGACAGGCGCAGGGTTCCAGCTGTCAGGTCGGTGACTCACTCGTCTGTTTCCAGTCACTTCCTCTTCGATCTTGTTTTCTCGAGTTTATCTCCAGTGGGACGCCCTGGGCTTGGTACTTCATTTGATCAATTACATCTGTGGTGTCTGTAACAGGTTTTGTTTCCGTTGCATACAGGCATTAGGATATTGCACTGTTGCAGTTTTTCCCCCTTCTACCGAATATCTTTTCTAGACTTTCAGAATTACTTTTTCACCCAAAACCAGATCTTGTATCAAGCATTCCCAAAACAGATCAAACAGATGTGAGTTTATCGAGCCAGTGAAGTAATTTGGCAGGGATTTGTCACATGATTTTTTAATAATGTTAATGGATGATTTGTTTACCGATAAGATTGTGTTCTTGAAGGCAGTGACTCTGTATGCTTAGTCTCTGATAACGTTAATGTGGGGATTGCGGGATCACTTTGTTCCAAGTTATTTCTCAATAATTTCACAGCGGGTTTGCTGTATATTCGTAAACTCATTCTAGGTTTGAGAACTGCTGAGACAAATACTTCTACCTGGTTCTGAGTACTTTTGAGTTAAATCTGAATAATGCATTTGATTTTCTTGTTGAGTGCAAGGTTGACTGAAAAGCTGAGATCTTGCAGTACTGTATTTGTGTTAAGAAATGAAACATTAGTTTATTGCTCTTGATTTAGACATCTCATTTAGGAAACACTATTGTAAAATTAATAGGTGTCAATTTTGGTTTTGATTTTCTGCTGGATTCTATAATTTTCTGATGCAATGTTGTCGCATATACCGCATTTTCTATCTTAACAAGTAAAGATAATAGAGTCATACAGCACAGAAACAGACCCTTTGGTCCAACCAGACCATGCCGACCATAATCTCAAACTAAACCAGGCCCATGTCCTTCCAAACATTTCTTATTCGTGAACTTATCTAAATGTCTTTTAAATATAACTGTGCCCACATCCACCACTTCCTCTGGAAGTTCATTCCGTACACAAACCACTCTTTTAATAAAAAAATGCCCCTCATGTCTTTTTTAAATCTTTCTCCTCTCACCTTAGAAATATGCCCCTTGACCTTGAAATCCCCTACCCCAGGGAAAAGATACTTGCCATTCACCTTACCTTATCCCTCCTAATTTTATAAATCTCTACAAGGTCACCCCTCAACCTCCGACCTCTGAATGAATAAAGTCCCAGCCTATCCCAACTTTCCTTATAATGCAAACCCTCCATTCCCAGCAACATCCTGGTAAATCTCTTCTGAACCCTCTCTAGCTTAATAATATCCTTTCTATAACAGGGTAATGAGAACTGGACATGGTATGCCAGAAGAGACTTCACCAATTTCCTATACAACCTCAACATAATGTCACAATTCCTCAAAGGTCTGAGCAATGACGGCAAGCCTGCTAAATGCCTTCTTAACCACCCTATCTACATGTGTTGCAAACTTAAAAGAGTTATGTACCTGAATCCTGTCTGTTCTACAACACTCCTCAAGGCCTCCCTTTTAATTGTAAAATGCTGTCCTTGTTTATTTTACTAAAGTGCAATATCTCTCATTTATCCAGATTAAACTCCATCTGCCAGTCTTCAGCCCATTGACCTAACTAATCAAGATCTCTTTGTAATCTTAGTCTTCTTCACTGTTGACTAAGCCACCAGTTTTGGGGTCATCTGCAAACTTACTAACTATGCCTTCTATATTCTCATGTAAATCATTTATATAAATGGCGAACAAACGTGGACCCCGTACTGATCCCTGTGGAACGGCGCAGGTCACAGGCCTCCAGTCTGAAAAGCAACCCTCCACCATCACTCTGTCTTCTGCCGTTAAGCTATTTTTGTATCCAATTGGCAAGCTCACCCTGAATCCCGTGTCATCTAACTTTAGTAATTAGTCTACCTAGTAGTGGAACTAGTAATTAGTTCCACCCTACCAGGTGGAACCTTGTCAATGGCTTTACTAGAGTCCAGCTAAGCAATGTCTACCACTCTGCCCTTATCAATCTTCTTGGTTACTTCCTCAAAAAACTCAATTAATTCGTGAGACACGATTTCCCTCATAAAAAAATACAGATTGACTATCCCTAATTGTACCTTACTCTCCAAAATACATATAAATCCTGAATTTCAGAATCACTTTCAACAACTTACCCACCACCGAAGTCAGACTTACCAGTGTATAGTTCCCAGTCTTCTCCTTACAGCCCTTCTTAAACAAAGGCACAACATTAGCCCCTCTCCAGTCATCTGGCATTTCACCCATAGTTATAGATGATACTAATATTTTTGCGAGGGTGTCCGCAGTTTTCTCCCTAACTTCCCACAGTGACCCGAGATACACTAGATCAGGTACTGGAGATTTATCCACCTTTATATTTTCTAAGATCTCCTCTGCTGTTGCCATGTGAACTGTTTTCAAAACATCAATATTTATTTCCCTCAATTCTTTAGCCTCCGTTTCTTTCTCCACAATAAAAGCTGATGCAAAATATTCATTTAATATTACCTTATTTTCCAAGGCTATCTCATATCCTCTATTTGCTGACCTGATCCCCCTCTTAAGAATGCCTGTACACACTTTATACTCTTCAAGAGATTCATTTGAACCTTGTTGTCTACATCTAATATAAGATTCTTTTTTATTCTTGACTGGAACCTCAATATCTTTATTCATCTGTTGTTCTCTAATCCTTTGGGCCTTACCTTTCACTCTGATTGGAACGCAATGACTCTGAACTCTCTTTACCACACTTGTGAAAGCCTCCCTCTTATCAGACTTCCCTTTTCCTGCAAACAGTTTGCTCCGGTCAATTTTTGGAAGTTCTTGTCTCCTACCATTAAAATCTGCCTTAGTCGAATTAAAGACTTAAATTTTTATGGAAGGCTTTTTCTTTTCCATTACTATTTTAAAACACATGGAATAATGATCACTAGACCCAAAGTGTTCCCCCACTATCACTTCAGTCATTTGCCCTGCCTTATTACCCAAGAGAAGGTCAAATTTTGCTCTTTCACTAGAAGAAACATTTTAGATATTGATGAAGAAAATTTTCTTGAACACATTTAACAAATTCTTCACCATCTAAACCTTTAAATCACCTATCATTACAACCTTTCTATTATATATCTGTGAGACTTTGAGTGGTCCAGCAGACAGCTTTCAATCTTCTGACCTAAATAAAAAATCTCACTCCTGAGCCATCCATGTGTAGGTCTCTCCAAAGGTTGCATAAACACTTGCCATTCCCCAAAATTGACTTGACACAACTTGATCCGACCAACACCCTGGTCCAGCCTGGGCTCAATCTGCCAAACGTGACCTGGACCTATCCCTGCTATAAATAACTGGCTCCCACCACTAACCCAGACAATGCTCCTCCAATTCAACCTTCTGACAGACTCTAAGCACTCATCCACTTGCCTGGCATCTACCCACCTGACCCAATCTGCATGCCACCCCATTACCTACCCACCTTCCACACCAGCCCTTCGTTTGCCTCACACGCTCACTTTTCCTCAGTCACTGTCAAATTGTCTTTGAGATTTTTAAGTCCTGAAATACTGCACTGAGTGGACTTCTCCCCGGTTTTCTGATGATTGTATTAGGACAGGCCAGGCCAAATCTTGGCCAAAAAATATCAGCAACAGACAAGTGGGTAATTTTGAACAAGGTTACCATTGAATTTAAACATCTGGACCAATGTCCGAGAAGCTGCTGTTACAGCTCAATTGGGAAGAGTGTGCCAATAACCAAGGTCCACTATTCCATAAGCCATCACAAGATTATACTACCTAAACAACGCACTGAAATGATCAATTTGCCTGACTGCTACTCAGGACAAAAACAATTCGTGCTGGGTTTCATCATTAATTGGAAAATAACTGTTGTAAATGCACTAATTCGTCAACAAATAGAAAAAGACAGATTACTGATTTCCTATTATGTGACTTTAAGCTTTACTCCTTTTAAAACATCAAGCATACACAGATATTCATTGATGAACAAGACAATTAAAAAAAAAAGATGGTTTGGCACAAATCTTGTGCATTGGAAAATATGGACAGGGAAAATAAATTCTCTGTTCTTGTGGCATCAGCAGCTACCAGGTTGGTTCTTAAATCACTGCCTGTGGTATATGGGCAAATGAACAGCAGATTGTTTAAACATAGAGGTTGGACAGAGAGGGAGAGATTGCCCCACTTAGGAGTCGCACTTCAGCGTCTCTTCTGCTCTGTGTGGCCTGGAGAAAAGTAGTTTCTTAAACACAAAATGGTTAGCTGGCTTGTTGCATGACCATCCCTTTCTAACTGACCAATTACTAAAATGCGATCATGGCTTCCAGGCGCATGGTCTCCATGATTAGATTCTGGGTGGATGACTTTCTTTCTCCCAGTGTTCAGTCTCTGAGGTGATCTCATCTAAGGCTTGGTGCCTACCTACTTGAGTACCCAACTGGCTGTTTGGAAGCTTTGTAAATGGTTTAGGTGATGGGCTATTCACACTCCAAAGGTAGTTGTCTCTGGAATTCTCTAGACAGGCTGACTCCAATTAAATGACTTTCAAATATGTGAGGTTATAGTCATGCAAATGTACGGCCATCTAAAAAGCTGTTATTTACTGGATTTTTTTGTATAAATCATGGCTCTATATGAATATATGCAATATATTTATGTTTTGAAATGGTCGATGTAGAGAAAATCTTTCCACTTTTCTGTGGAACTGCACAGCTAGGTGCCTTAAAATAAGAATCACCAATAATTCCAGTTCAGAGATCTGGAGAAACTTCTTCATTTAAAGAATTGTTAGAATTACTTTTCATCTTAGGAGGAACTCTGTACCGCAAAAAAGTTGAGGTGAATATGTTAGATGCATTTGAGAGGAAGCTGGATAAACACATAAGGGAAGGAAAGAATAGAAGAGTTTGTGGATAGGGTTGGTCAAAGAAAGATGGGAGGTGGCATAAATTGGCACACCTTTTGGGTTGCATCATAAAGTGATG